TGTAAAAAAATACTTTTTTTTTTTTTCAAAAAATAAAAAAAAAAAAAAAAAAGTTTGTCAGAAGTTGATATAATAATCGACTTTTGGTTTCCTTGGTGGTGTTGGCCTGACCACACATGGCTTACATTTCTGCCAAACCAACAGGATTTGACCATAAATTGAGCACCAGTGTATGGCTAGCTTTACCCTTACTGCAAGAAATAAATAGGTAAAAAATACTTGTGTAATTTAGACCTGGAGATGATGAACCACATTTTAGGCACCTGTTGTGCGCTATTATATATTTTATCTATTAATATAAACATATACTGTATCCATGATTTTTAAGTACAGTTCTCTGAAATCAGTACTTTCCATAGTCTTACAGACAATAGTGTAAGAAACTAGCACCCCAATTTTTGTTTTATATGTGAGAAGAACTTAATGTATTTTACTTTATAAAAATCATCTACTCTCCTATCTTCTGACCCTTTTCAGTATCTCACAAATGCACCTTAATGGAAATGTATTCATTACTTCATTCTGCTTGGGAAAATGTAAAAATAACCTGTGCTTCATTTCCTACTCACCTGTCCTTTCTATAGTAATCCTGAATCTGTCTGCATGAAAACCAAGTTTATCCAGGATACCCACCTTTTTCTTTTCTTCCTCATTAACCTCCCCAAAAAATTCAGTTCAGTCTTTGAGAACCCCTTTCTCTCCATTCCTAATGTCCTCTTTAGAATATTCTTGGCTTGAACCTAGAATTTCATATCAATGGCAAACAGTTTCAATGTTTGAAATTATTTGAAATTTGCAGGCCCCCTTTTCAGCATGCAGCAGAAAAACTACTGCCATCTTTCTGTGGTTTGCTCCACCTACTTGCCATGCAAACGTTGACCTAAGATGAAATATTGTACCATAAAATATTTGGTGACTTCATACTCGTTCATCGAGCGTAGGACGCGCTACAAAACGGTCAGGTGTGAATGGGGCCGAAAAGGTCCCGGAGCGTTTTTTGCTGCGTATTGGTCCGTTTTGTAGGGCGTTTTCCATTTCTATACTGCCAAGTAACCTTTGGAATCGCGCGACGGTCGCGCGACTTTTTTACCGCGAATCGCGGTAAAAAAAACGCGTGACGGTCACGCGACAGACGCGCATATTACAATACGCATAGGTGTGAATGGGTCCTTAGAAGCCCACTTGATTTTATTGATCCTGTCTCTTTTTCCCATCCCCCAAAAAAATCAATGAATTCCTTTCTCCAACTTTCTTAGGTCCTGATTTGTCAATAAAAGGGGACTGAATCCGGTTCATAAGTTACTGCAAGATGTTGGACTACACTATTATTGCCCTGTTCCCGCTGGTTCTTACTGTGGAAGGGTCTAACTCTGTGGGACTGGGCACTGATGTTATCAGCTGGTTGGAGTGTCATGTGCACTCTCTGCCCTGCTCCTCTCTCCACTGCTGCTCCTGCTTGCAAAGCACCATGTGGAACTTTCATCAGCTTATAGTAGAACTGTAAATGCCAGGTCCGTATGGCATACTGACCTGGCCAGCTGGAAGCACTTTTGTAGGTCTGTATGCCATACGCCCTTGGCAGCGAAAGGGTTAATCGGTTCCTGCTGCCCACCTACAGTGACTTTGGTAAACTCCAGCCATCTGACCCTTACTTGCTACCAACTGTCTGGGTTTTATGAGTACCTGAGGCCTTTCCTCTTATCCTAAGCCTACATGTCGCCATGCGGTTACATGTCTGACTCTAGACGCAGAAGGACAGTCCCACTGTTTCAGGTGCTACCAGCTCACAATCTGCTCTGTGACTGCTTGAAGCGTGTCTAGTGACTGTGCCAATGTCTACAGCCTGGAGTTATGCTGCTCCTGTCCCCTCCTTGAAGTCCTCTTTAGTTCCTTTTAGGTGTGGCATACATCTGACATCTGCTGTTTTGGCTGAGGTTTTTATTAGTCATGCAAGACTTTATCATCCATACCAGCCAGTTATTTTTTTTAACTCTGATAACCGAGGTCACACGTGAGCTTCCTTGTCCTCTTATGCAGATTCTTTATCTGATTTTCCTGCAGCCTTGTGGCCCCTGAGCCATTGCTGAGTCGTTACAGTTTTTGATTGCTATTACTCCAAAATGAAAGCAGACTATTTTGGTTCTTTTATAATGCAGTGTGCACTACTCTCAAAGTAGAGGATCAGATCAGCCTGTTGCTTCTTTCCAGCCTTGGATTGTTTAAAACTACTAAGGCTGGAAAGACTTTTCCTTTGCACCCGCTTATTCAACTCTTTCTATATGGAGATTGGAAGTGGTTTGCTTTCCTCAAGCACCTCTTAGACTAATACCCAATTGGTGAGGATTTTGTGCAAAAGTGGTCTATTTCTATTTGCTGCCTTACAATATAGGTTAAGGTCCTGTGACACAAAAAAAAGTAAAAAGCCTCACTGATGCAGCGAGAGTGATGTAAAGAACAGTGTTTGCGTAATCAGTTTATGATTCTAAACAAATAAATGGTAGTTTAAAGTCCAGCTCTAGTTTTAAAACTGAATTCCAGGCAAACAGCTTAAATATACAGTTAAAATATAGTGTGTGTGTGTGTGTGTGTGTGTGTGTGTGTGTGTGTGTGCGCGCGCGCGCGCTCATCTAGTTTACAAGTGAATATGAGATCTGCCATCACTCAGTACAGACAGGATTAATTATTTGAAACAAAACTCCCCCCAAGCCCCTCAAGACAGTGAGAACTAAGTAGGATTTTTCAGTCCTGGAGTTAGCACAAAGAACATCTAAAAAGGGTAAGCTGCAATTTTATTTTTTGAAGTTATGCTATATGAATGGGAACACGTAACATACTGTACATAAAGTAGGTGTTATCCCAATTTGGCTGCAAAAATGGAAATAAACTTTAATGGTGGTATGAATTACAAACAAATCTTGTAAGCTGATAACCTCCTGTGCTCTCTACCTCTGCTGACTGTTATCAGTTCCCTGTTCTCTCTGCAGACTACAGAACCTATGCCCCATATGTTATGTAGAAAAGGAGAGGGAGCTGTTTTGCAGTCCTAATACACTTGTCCTGAGGTGACAATGCTGTTACTCCATAGATACAGTACAGTGAGTGAGTGAGTTATCACCCTAAAACAGGATGCGTGTTTCTGACAGAATCACCAGGTGGGAAGAAAGGGAAAAAAAACGAATGCAGCCACCACATATAGGGACTGGATAGCTGCAATATAATGCATTTGTGTTCCTGGCTTTAGATACACTTTAACTTTCTTGGAACAAGTGATACTGCTCACATGACCCAAAGCCTAGATATATCTGCTGACAGAAAAATCACTCAGTCTGAACTCTGATCAGAGCAGAGTTGACATACAGGAAAAGTCATAATTATAATTGTGGAACTTGTTGCAGCGCATAGTTTTATTGTTACAGGGATTTATTTTTGGTTACTTGGCATATTTTTTCAGATGAACATTTTTCAGTAGGTAGATTCTTTTTGGATAGTCCTTCTGTTTGGAACAGTTATATAATATGATCATTTAAATTGGTTCCGTTGTGGTCCTAGGCTTAGTTTACAGTCTAAGATGGCCTTTCTGAACCTTTTTGCCACCGAGGAATCTTTGCAATCATTTTCAGGTCTCAGCGAATCCATACTAAAATGATTAAACCTGCAGCTCATAGTACATAATATGATTAGTAAAGTTGTAGGTATAGGAGTGAAAGTATTAGCAATGCAGCTTATCTTGTATATTTGATAACCTGCTTTATACAACACGGTTTAAGTAATAATCATGTAATAAAAATAGTCCAGAAAGAAGATGGAGAAAGTGAAAATGATTGTGTCTCATTTTATTCATGGTCAGTGTACTGTCCTTTTACTTTCATGGTTAGTGAAATGCCCACTTTGTGTAGTGTCCACTTACGTTGGTGGTCAGTGTACTGCCTCTTTAAATTCATAATCTGTGGAAAAATGCCCCTTTACATTGGTGATCAGTAGAGAAATCCCTTATTATATCGGTTTTCAGGGTTGTGTCCCCTTATATTGATGGTGATTGTAATGCCTACTTACATTGGTTGCTAGTGTAATACCCCCTTTACATACATAATCAGTGGAGAAATACACCCTTACATTGGTGGTCAGTGGAGAACTCCCTCCTTATATTGGTTGTCCGCGCAGTACCCCTTTAAATTCCTAATAAGTGAAGAAATACCCCCTACATTGGTGGTCAGTGGCGAAATCCCTCCTTATATTGGTTGTCAGTGTAGAGCACCCTTATACCGATGGTTAGTGTAGTACCTGTTTACTTTTATAGTTAATGGAGAGATGACCACTTACATTGGTGGCCAGTGCAGTACCCCTTTACATTGGTGGTCATTGTACTGCCCCTTTACTTTCATAATCAGTGGAGAAATACTCCCTTACATTGGGGTGGGGGGTTTAGTGGAAAGAATGTCCCAACTACTGAGGTTTTTGACATGCTTACATCGAAGAAGTTAGGAGAGGGTAGGTTGGTCCCTTGCCACTGGTTTTGTTGAGCGACATCAGTGCCAACTATTAGGGCACCATCATGGGTGGAGTAAATCTGGCACTTTTCACTTCTCAAGGAACCCTAGCAATCTCTGGAGGAACGGACCCCTAGCTTAGAACTACTGAAAAGCCTTGCAGACATGGTTATACAGCTGCCAAAAACATTAGTTTGTAATTGTGACCTGCATGTAGAAGCAGCAACTGAGCATTAAATACACCATGCATGCTGTATGTTCCACTTCTAATATGTTTAACCGTGTGTGTGTGTGTGTGTGTGTGTGTGTGTGTATACACATCTGTGTTCACAGACACAACCACCCTAAAGAACAGTTATTTTTAATGGATTATTTTACATACTGGACCATGTAATGGATACACATGTAAGTACTGGCCATTGTCATCACACATTCAGACTAATTCAATCCCGCATTGCAAAGAGCATCAAAGAATAAACTCAACTGTGTCTATTTGGCCATAGGCCAGAACAAATTTGGTTCTCCTTTGCAGAAGAAACTGGACCTTCTGGGGGAAAATCAAATATAAAAATAACCTATGTATACAAACCCCTCAGAGATGGCAACCTGCATGAGAATTGTATTAATGGCATATTTTCTCAGCATCTTCTTTATTTCCCTGCCCAAAACACAAGCTTGAGATTCATCTTTTTTTTTTAATTAAATCTGGTCAACATTTCCATATTAAGTCTTTATTGTTCTGATCCTCTCTTTCCCAGGATAATGTGGCCTATTTCTGTTACCCGTTCAGCTTTGAGATTTTCCTCTCTGAGGAGGTGGACGCTGAAGGTGAGTAGAAAGAAAAGTACAGAAATCCAGTTGTAGGGAAAGACGAGAAAAATAAAAGAAAAATTGTAATTCTCCATTGCAGAGGTGCCGCAGTGGCCAGTTGTTTACTTTGAAGTCCTCTCTCTGGACTTTTGGCAAAGGTATCGAGTTGAAGGATATGGATCTGTTGTCCTGCCACATACTCCAGGCAAGTGATCAATTGCAGTGTTTGTTTTCCATTAAATGCATATGTTATCAGTTGAGCAATAGACAATAGTCCCAAAAACCATACACATAAAAGAGACACCGCAGAGCCCACCTGACAGTGACCCCGCACAGCTCACTATAGACCCTGCACAGCCCACCTGAGAGTGACCCAGCAGAGCCCACCTGAGACCCCACATAGTCCACCTGAGAGTGACCCCGCAGAGCCCACCATAGACTCTCTATGGTGGGCTCTGCAGGGTTGATTGGGGTACCTTTCCCTGCACACTGTGCTCCGCTTACCTGTCAGCCCTGAGCCGCCTACTGCTGGGCCCCAGTCTCCGCTGCCGCCAGGCCCTGGCCTCCTCCGTCACCACCTCCGCCAGTGCCACTGCCGGCTGGCCTCCTCCACCACTTCTGCCACCGAGCCTCTGGCCTCCTGACCGGGCCCCATAGCAACCGTCTAGTTCGCTATGGTGATTGTTACGCCACTGCCAATGGTGAGCCTCAAAGCCCATTTTAAGCTAAAAATAAATGCACCGGAACAAGGTGAAATCGCTGCAAAAATGCACTGCACTGCGTTTGCAGATCTGGTCCGGAAATGGTGTGAACATAGCCGATGAAAAGTTTGCTTTGAATATAATAATAATGATTGGACTTATCAGAACTTCTGGCCTCATAATTTGTAGAATTAAACAGACTTCTGCTTTTACCTTATCCCAAGGAATGCATGAGATTGCTGCACAAACATGGCTGCCTGTAGAACTTGGAACAGTGTCTGAGCTTAGAAGGTTTTTCATTGGGGGATCCCCAGAATTGGAAGATTTAACTTATGCCAGGACACCTGGGACATTCCAGGTAAAGTATATATTAAGGCTGTGTACTGTATTTGGTAAACTTTGACTGCCATTTGGTAAATTAATTATCCATGGAGATGTAACGTCTGAAGCCAACATTGAGATACGTTATGCTTTAGGGGTGGGTGGTTGAAGGGGGTTTGAAGAGAAACAGTTTGTAACAAATTTAAAAAGTTTTCAGTAGAAATAATCTAAATGAAAATAAATATTATTTTTTTGCATTTTCACATGAAAATATTGCCAAAATGGCTCTGACAGGCCTAGTTTTTCTATAATTCCTTCCAGCCTGAATCTAAACAGCTCCTTACATGGTCAGTCTAAGGGGGATTGTATTCTTAAACTTAGGCTGTGTAACCCTTTCTCTCTCTCCGTTTGATCCATCCCCAACTAGATTTAAACTTTCTATCGGTAACAAAAAAGAATCCTTTTTATCACTTTTCGGTGCTATTTCGTGTGTTTTTGGGTATGAAATGTATGCATTTCCTGAAAGCAGAGACCCTGTAGAATAATATGTTGGCAGTTGAAATTGTTTTATGCCACATGATATTAGTACAACTATTTATCAAACCCAAATGTTCCTTTAAAATTGTATTTTCTATTAATTTTAGTGCACACAAACAGAATATAATACCCAGTTTAGTAAAATTGAAAAGATAAGGTTGCGTTGAGTAAATAGATATGAAACATGACATGCCTCAAAATTGCATGTGCCCGTAAAATGTTGAAAAACTACGATACCCAGAATCGCCCATATGTGATGCCTTTTATTGCTTATCAGTTTAGAGTTCACAGTGAATGATGGCCCTAGAATTATTGCTCCCATTCTGCCATATTCAGTGATGCCGAATATGTGTTTGATGCAATCATCGCTTTAGTACGCGAGCACAACCGACATTTTATTGAAGTTGTATGTACATGTATGTGGAGGCTTTTTTTTTCTTCTTTTAACTTTAGTTTTTCATAAATTAACTTTATTGCTATCACATAGGGAGTTGACAGCACATTGGAGGTGACAGATTCCCTTTAAGGCGACATTAGGGAACGACTGTTCTGAAACTAGAAGTGATGAAAAGCTTCCGGCTTCGTTTACTGCAGGGGCAATTACTCTTCATCCTCCACTCTCCTTGCTGACACCCGGTGGGGTAACAAAAGGGTTAAGGAACAAGTGTACTTTTACCAAAATTCTGTTAAATCTACTCGCAGCGCGCTACTCTTTAACTTTGAAGAAACTGTTGAAAATTTCCAATTTAATGTAACTGCAAACTCCGCCCCCCAGTTAAATGCAATCAGCTTCAAACTCTGTTCCTTCCCAACCGGCAATCAGTACAGAGACATCTGCATGTTAATGTAGTAGCTGCCAGCAGCTTCCCTGACCCCCTCCTTTCCTTGCTCACCTGTGCAGAAGCCTCAAGCCTGGGGAAGTGGGGATGTGTTTACAGCAGACAGCAAAACTGCTGCTCATCTGAGCTGCCGGGTATGCTACACAGGATCTGAAGAGCTAGAAATATGTGTGTACAGGGGAGATAAGCTGCAGATTTTGTTCCCATAGCTGCTGATCTTTTTGTTATCCAGAGCTCTTTGCTGGTGTTGCAGGCACTGTCACAGAGTGGGCCATGGCATGCCCAAAACAACAATGACTTTATTTGCAAGGGTGGATGGGTGAATTACTACAGGCGTGGGGCATGTTGAATCACTGTAAACCACACCTGCCTGCTGGTTCCATTGAGGGGGTTTGCATGGGCTAGTTTAGGAAGAACCATTACCCTAAACGTGACAGATTGTGGAAAGGAACGTTGACCCATGTAAGTAGTCTTTCAGACTTGCCAAATAAAATATTTGCAGAGAAAATTTTGGTATATAAGGGAAAGTATACTTATCCTTTAAATTAAGACAAATTGACAGGACTTACTGATTTGCTTTCAGCTGCATTAATTGCTAGGTAGCGGTTATAGTTTCCTTGCTTTGGTGCACAATTTTGGCACTTGAAATCGGCTACAACATCAGCCTATTTGACCTATCCTCAAAGTCACATCTTGGATAAATAGACAAGTGAGAAATATGTTGTAATTTCTAATAACGTTTCCCTGCAGGGAGAGCGGCTGAGTCGCTTTGGATTCAGAACAGAGACAACTGGCAAGGTGACATTTCGCTTTCACTCTATACACCAGTCAAGGTAAGAGTAAGCAATTTATACAGCTATATTAGCTCTGTTTCAAAAGATGAATAAGAACTGTCTTAGCTGATCCCAGTAGTGTAATGACATAACTACAGCCATGAGCTAATGACATCTCGCAGCGTGCACTGTGGGACCATTACATGAATATCTTGGGGCCCAACTGTAACCAGCTGCTGTGGGTTGACATCTTTTAAATCCTCTATAAAATAAAAAGAAATGTATATTGACTCGCTCATCCTTCTCAATGATGATGGGAAAGCAGCCAAGCCAATCCAACATCAGGAACCTAAAAGTGGCTGCACTTTGACAAATAGTTCCTCTACTCTAATAGAAAGTGTCTCAAATGTTTTAAATTGCCCCAATACATTAGTTCAAAAAGTACAGCTCTAGTGAATCTATTAACTCTTTTACCGCCGGAGCATTTTATAATTTCCATTTAGTTTTTGTAAAATTGGATAAACGAGACTGCGTCGAGTAAATAGATATTAAATATTTGAAGGCTTTAAATTGCATGTGCCCGCAAATTGGTAGATAATTCCGATACCCAATATCGTCTGTAGGTGACTGTCGTGTAAACCCTTGTCTTTGCCGCACCTGCTTACCCTGAGATTGTAGTCTAAGAGATAGCTAGGGTCCCACCAGGAACTCCCTCACAGGAGTTTGGATTTAGCTACAAGCTACCTCCAGGTCACTCAACCGGTACTCATGGATGCAGAGGAGGGTAGATGCCGGTGAGTTGTAGAGGTGACTGCATTAAACTGTATCATACAGAACTGTTGACACAGGTAGTATGGGTATCACTGATGGTACAAGGTAGCACTTCATAGCAGGGTAGCACTATTGACAGTGGTAACGCAGGACGCACTAGTAGCTGGGTGCAGTGGTTGCACTGTTAGCAAGGAACCTCTGGTAACATGGACTTAGAAAGATACTCAATGCTCGAGCGGTGACAGTGGGTCCCACTAAAGTTGAAAAAGGAGTTTCGGCCTTGTGACAGAGAAGGCACAAGCGCTGAAGTGCGGTAGGTAAAAACCTTTACAGCTCATCAGTTTAGAGATAATTGAAATAAATGGCCTTAGAATTATTTGTTTTATTCTGGCGTATGCAGCGATACCAAATATGTTATCCAATCACCATTTGTTATAAATGTATTTATGAAAAAAAAAAAAAATTTCACACAAAAATCTACATTTCAGAAATTATACATGACTAACTAAACAGTAAACATTAAAACACAGACTAACATAATCCCATAAATACCGACATTAAGACAAAAACATATCACAATATTGGTTTAAATTCTTCTAACCTGCGTGTTTTCCCCCTATTCAAAGCCTGATCTGTATCTATATGGTGCTAGCTTTTCTGTTTTCTTCTTAATGTGAGTTATATATTCCAATTTACTTTTATAATTAACTACCTATTATATTTAATTTTTCAAATCTTTAATAAACGGTGAGTTTGTGTCTATCGTGATTCACTACTTTACGAATCCAATATTCTAAACGTCCCACGTATTGTGACCTAATACAAAAAATAAGCATCTTATGCTAATCTAAAAGTGATAAAGTGTGTCTTTATATAAAATATTATGAATTGAGTTCAGTGGTTTAGTGTCATAGGTTGATCACTACTCTATGAACCTAATATTCTGTGCATCTCCCATCCTATATCGTATTTCAAAACAAACACCCCTTACCAATCAGAGTGAGGTGGTATACCTCTATATATAAATTATTATTAAGTGTATCCTCTTATATCCTTAATTCTTATAAAAATAACCCCAAACATTAAAGGGTAGCCCGCATAGATAGTGCTATTCAGTACATCCTACCCTTCCTCTCCCTTTTGTCCTCCTCCCTCCCACCCCACCCCCCCATGCTTGCTAAAATTTTGGATTCTGAAAAATTAAATATTCTAGGCTAATTAGAGATTATAAAAAGCACTAGAGGTTATTTTCTTTTAGCTCCAAAATACCAAAATTGAGCACACTAAGGCATCCTACTCTAACCCTTCCTTATTCACATATTTGTATCTAGTTGAGGTGTGGAGTCATCCCATAGGGTACAGGGGAGTCAGTAATTTATTTCCTTAGTTATATGAAGACATCATTATTGATAAGTACTCCTCCAATCACCATTTACATACGAATGTGCAGTCTAGGTGTTCATATGTTAGGGCAGGGTCCTATTTCAAATTTTCCACTATTTTCAGCATGTAAAATATATTTAAAATAAATAAATATACAGGGTGCTTTTTAGAGACAACAAACTGTAAGGACCCATTTATAATTCTGCTGTGTGTTAACACATGTGCTAATGCGTGTTAACATGCTTTGCTTTCAGGCAGCTCATTGAAAATAATGGCTGCCAATGGACCAAAACCTCAAAAAAATCTGAGGTGTCACAGCCTTTCTAATGCAATACAACATACTATGCTGTGTTGCCATGTGTTATAGTGTACTGCAATGAGAGTTTGTGTGTTGCCTTAGTGCCTTGGTGTGCCACGCAAAATGAATGGCAATACAACATATGTAAAGTGCATTGTTGCGAACTACCACAACAGTAAGATGTAAATGGGCCCTAAGACTTTTGCACACCTTTGTTTTGATGCACCTGAATCCAGCTGATTTAAACTGAATGTTCAGTTGGCCTTTAATGTTAATATCGAAGAAGAGCTGCTAATATCATGCACACCTATATGTATAAAAGGACACAAACAGTTTGCAGAAAGTTGTATTGTATCTGATACGTATAGAACTTAGTTTTGCAGCCTAATGTGCTGTTAGTGGAGAAAAAAGGTTTGCAGTATTTGAAATACTGTAACTGCACCACAGCAAGTCGGCTGTCTTTAAAACTTTAACCCTACACCTTTTATTTAAACAGGTTCTGTGCTGCTAATCTCTAGACACATTCACATGGCCTCACATAACTGTTATTAAAGGTGTTTTTTTTACAGAAAACAGATCATAGTTTGTTTAGCTGTGCTTTGTGTTCAGCATGCCTGTTGTCATTTACCTCCTGAGTTGTACCTTTTCTCCATTTATGTGTGTATTGCTGCTTAGGGCCTTCCTCGACAGCAGTTCTCTAAGGAGAAGAATGCAAAGCGTGTTGGATCGCCTGGGAGGCTCCAGTCAGCAAAGCTCTATTCTCAATGTCCTTGGTATGTATTTCAGTTCGTAGACTTTTATATATTGAACTAGCCCACCTAGTGGTCATTTTTGGTGTAGCAGGTACATCTTTAAGTGTGGAAATGTTAATTGATAACACGGACCTTCACGCTTGAAAATAAATTGCTCCTCTTAAAACTTTCCTCTGGAGCATGAAAGTACCCCCCCTCCCCCTTTTTTTGTTTTGTCTGCCTACCTTTTTTTTTTATTACTGTTCACGTTCCAGCTTGCACCATGCATAATATGGTGCAAGGAGTGATTGGATACAGATACAAAGCCTTAAATACAATAAAGCTTTTTTTAAAAACTTACCTCTCCCACCATTGCTGTTTATGTAAAATTAGGAGAGGGCTGTAATAATGACCTTTTGGGCAACTCTTGTTCTGGTGCTGGGGAAGGGAGCATTGTTGCTTACACGGAGACAGCCAGTCAGTGGCTCTGCCTGCACACATCCTTCCTTCCATTGCAGCTCTGTCCGTGCACTAGAACTGGAAGTTCTTCAGGGTAGAATTCTTTTAATTAACGTAAGTTGGCAGCAAGGGTTTCAAATAGGCTTGTGGTATATATTTTGTTCTAATATGAAATGTACTTGTGTTTAATATGAATATGACATGTTATGCATTTATATAATTTATTCATATTGAAGCTCATTAGGTATATTTGTTAATTATATTTCTTAAGGTTATTTTTTTGCCATACAGTATCTCTACCTAAAAACCAACCCCAACTTTTTTTTTAATTATTATTATTAACAGATGCTTTCCAGAGAGCTCGCCGACGAATGCAGCTGGCTAGAGAGAGCCTTCCAAAGGCAATTTTGACCACTTCAAAGACATCACTTGAGCAGTCAACGGCCTAAAACCACTGTTTGTAATAGCAGTTGCAGCCTACGGACAAGCTTTGAAATGTGTACATATTATAAATATAAAAATTATTGCACCTTACATTTTGTACTGCTATCCTAAATATATATATAAAGTGTTTTTGTATGCATATGCCTCTATACTTCTTATTACTAAAGAGTAACTGCAGAAAAGGGGTTTCTCAGTTATGTGGGGCTGGGGCTGATTTCCCACCAAGTCTTTAATGTTGTTTTGGATCCTTGTGGGAACATTACTCTTCACTTTGGTGGTTGTGGAAGATTGCTCTGGGCTTATCAGAGTCTAAGGTCACATTTAAAAGACCTAAATGTTCTACAACTTTAAAAGTCACTCTTTGCCACTGTACTGCTGTAATAATGATCTTTGGAATATCACATTACACAGCTGCAGTAAAATGGTGTCTAAGGTCTCTGAGGGTAGGTTTTTAGATGTCCGTGATCTATAACTAGCCCGACTCTTAATACACTGCACTGCAGAGTACCTGGGCTGTGACAGATTCACTCAGCATCAGAAAGGAACGCTTGCCTTCTTCATTGAGGCTATGCATTCCTCTTTATAATTAGAGGATTCTGCTATTATTTTATAATTCTGCGATTTCTCGGTTCACATAAAACTGTGTCTGCAAGGTTTTTCTTCTATCTATTTTTGATTGATTGATAGATAGATAGATAGATAGATAGATTATATATACAACCTTGCTATGGCAGATATTATATATCCCTGTAGGTGATTATTGAGGGTCATTTGATGCTCCCACCTCGACCGACCCTGTCTCCTTGTGTCCTCCTTGTCTCTGCCTTATTGATTTTGGAGGGGGGATTGGTATTTATTTGAATAGATTACATTATAGATGGACATTGCAATTGTAGATTTTTATTATATTAGAAATTTAGATATATTATTAAATATTCGCTTTATATACGCACGCACGCACACACTATATTGCCAAAAGTATTGGGGCACCTACACGCACATGAACTTTAATGGCATCCCAGTCTTAGTCCGTAGGGTTCAATATTGAGTTGGCCCACCCTTTGCAGATATAACATGTTCAACTCTTCTGGGGAGGCGTCCACAAGGTCTAGGACTGTGTCTATGGGAATGTTTGACCATTCCTCAAGAAGCGCATTTGTGAGGTCAGGTACTGATGTTGGTCTCGCAATCTCTGCTGTAATTCATCCCATAGGTGTTCTATCGGGTTGAGGTCAGGAATCTGTGCAGGCCAGTCAAGTTCCTCCACCCCAAACTCGCTCATCCATGTCTTTATGGACCTTGTTTTGTGCACTGGTGCGCAGTCATGTTTTAACAATAAGGCCTTGTTCACACCAAGCGCAGAGCAGATCAGTTGCAGACCGGATCAAAACTGCGTCCAATGTATTCCAATGGTATTTTTTACTCCAGTTCACATCGCAGTGTGCAGGTCCAGAGCAGGTGAAAAAACTCCAGCAGGCCCTATTTTACCTGCTCTGGATCTGCAAACGCATCAAAAACGCATGCAAATGAAATGTCTGGAACGCAGCGAAAGCCCATTTTAAACTTTACATTTATTTATTTTAGCCAAAAACGCATCTAAAAGACTAGTGTGCGTGTGCAGAAACCTGACCGGATCTGCTCTGCATTTGGTGTGAACAAGGCCTAAGGGGTCATTTCCAAACTGTTCCCACAAGGTTAGGGGCATGAAATTGTCCAAAATGTCTTGGTATGCTGAAGCCTTAAGAGTTCCCTTCACTGGAACTAAGGGGCCAAGCCCAACCCCTGAAAAACAACCCCACACCATAATCCCCTCCACCAAACTTTACACTTGGCACAATGCAGTCAGGCAAGTACCGTTCTTGGCAGCCGCCAAACCCAGACACGTCCATCAGATTGCCAGACAGAGAAGCGTGATTCGTCAGTCCAGAAAACACGTCTCCACTTCCCAAGAGTCCAGTGGTGGCGTGCTTTACACCACTGCATCTGACGCTTTGCATTGCACTTGGTGATGTAAGGTTTGGATGCAACTGCTCGGCCATGGAAACCCATTCCATGAAGCTCTCTACGCACTGTTGTGCCAATCTGAAGGCCACACGAAGTTTGGAGGTCTGTAGCTATTGACTCTGCAGACAGTTGGCGACTTCTGCGCACTGTGCGCTTCAGCATGCGCTGACCGCGCTCTGTCATTTTACGTGGCCTACCACTTCGTGGCTGACTTGCTGTTGTCCCCAGTTGCTTCCACTTTCTTATAATACCACTAACAGTTGATTGTGGAATATTTAAGGCTCGTAGATCGACTCACATAATTTATCACTGTATGGGAAAGGTTTATTTTTGTTGGTTTGAGTCCTTGGAATTTTCCCCATATGCTTTTTCTGTATCACAAATTTTGTTGGGTTGGATCAATGTTTAGCTCTAAGTACCAAAAAGGCTCAGATATCTGCCTTGTTGGTCCTTTTTTTTTGACGTCCCCTTGTTTTTAATTCCTTGATTTTTGTGCTTTTTATTTAGGGATTTCCATGTGTGGTTCTTCCTGTTAGGTCTCCTTTTTCCTCTGTGGGATTTAAACTTGTCCTTATCTGTTCCTCCTCCTTTTGAAACTACCCAAGTCATTTCTTTGTCTTTGTTATGCTTTCTTGTGTCCATTACTTCGACTAGAAGGGTTTCCGAGTTGTCTGTTTTGATTTGTGGACAACCCTATTTGGTTCTTCATAAGAACAAGGTTTTTTTAAGACCGCAGGTTTCCTTTTTACACAAGGTGGTTTCAGCCTTCATTTAAATTAAGACATTGTTTTACCTTCACTTTGTCCAGCTCCTGTTCATCCTAAGGAAATTTCTCCTCATTGTTTGGATGTTTATCTGTCAGCCTCAGCTCCCTTTTAGGCATTCAGATTCTTTATTTGTTCCACCGCAAGGTCCAAGATAAGGTTGTTCAGCTTTTAGATCCACTATTTCTAGGTGAATTTGTCAGGTTGTCATTCAAGCTTATGAATTGCAGGATAAGGTTCCTCCTTTTTCTGCTCATTCTACTAAGGCAGTCAGTACTTTCTGGGCATTTCAGAATCAAGGTTCTGTTAATCAAATTGCAAGGCCGCAATTTGCTCTTCTGTTCACACTCTTGCGACGTTTGATCAAATTGATGTTTTTGCCTCTTCTGATGCTAGTTTTGGCAAAAAAGTTCTTTACGCGACTGTTTGCGTGTTTGGGCTGATTCTTCTAGTTTTTATGGTGCCCACCCCTCTGTTTTGGACAGTTTTTTGAAGGTTCCTATGTCTCAGAATTCTTCAGAGCTGTTTCCGTCAATGGAGGATAGAGAAAATAGGATTTTGTACTTACAGTAAAATCCTTTTCTCAGAAAGAGACTGTTCCCTCCCCTCATTTCCTTTCATACTGCTTGCTACAACTGTGATGTGGGAGGGTTTATGTCCCTAAAGTGACAGGGTTTTAACTTTTTTACATACTGTCCATTTCTCCTGAATGCAGAAGCATAGCTCTCCCAGAATTCTTCAAAGCTGTGTCCCTCAATGGAGTCCAAGAAAAAGATTTTATGGTAAGAACAAAGTCCTATTATCTTGTGAGTGTACTGGATAAACCTTATAAAAGAAAAACCCTTAAATCTGTAAACACGTGTGCAATTTATAGGAGATCCTGTTATAAACTGGTATAAATATTTGAATTCCCAATTGAAAAATAAACATCTGTATTGTAATGCTTAAGGCCCCATTCACACCAGGGCCGCAGCGGTTCAGCGCGATTTTTGATCACGTTTCAGCGCTGAAATGTAACGAAAAACACCCAAAACCATGCTGATCAGCATGTTGCCATTGAAATCTATTGGAAAACGTGAGAAAAAGTAGCTCAGGGAGCAGTTGGATTGAAACACGCGATTGCGTGAACGGGCCCCTTAGGAGTAAATGTGGTTTTTACTATTGGCAGTTCAGCGCGGAAAAATCCACGCGACCAAAACCGCCCTGGTGTGAACGGAACCTAAAGATTAATGCCCCTTTTGGGGTTTTTTTTTTTGTCATCTGTGCCCCATTGAGGAGATTTTCTTAACTTCCAGTCCTGCAGACATAATAGGTAAGATGAGATAAAATCTCTCCTCCGTGAGGGAAATTGGTTGTTATCCGAATTGTCCCCACTGGAAAATTTTCCCTCTTTTGCTGTTCAGGTGACAACTCAAAATTTTGAATTTACCCTCAATTTATTAGCGCCAGTGGTCAACAGGACAAATAAAGAGCAGATTTCTCTCATGGGAACAAAACATTCAATAAAAGCCCAATTATCTAAACCTACTAAAAAGTTTTGACTTTAAATTAGCCTCAAAGCTTCATTTGGTGTGCTACTAAAAGGCGTATCCCAATTCTGTGTCTGAACCTTGCTACCCGCTCTTCCTTCACCAATCGCACAATCACTTGAATATTAATGCACTAAATCAGCGTGAAAATGGTCCTTTACCGCCTCCTTCTTGCACTATGAAGCAGTATTCCAGATGGCTCCACACTGTGCTGCATATTCCATCTGCTGTGAGAAACTCTGTGAATGTTTGTTTTTTAAGATCGGAGCCCAAAACGCGTGTTCTTTCCAATTCAAACATACTATTGTAAAATACCTCATTATGGCCACAAGATGGAGCTGGGAAGCACAGCAAATGCATATATACTTCCTGTTCTCCTCTGCTTCATCTAGTGGTCATAATGCGGTATTACATGATGGCATTCAAAGTTACATTGGCCTTATAAAGAGGGTCCCTTTTGTTCCTGTCTGCAAAAGAATGGAGAAATAAATAAAAAGCAACTTCACTTTTTTTTTTTTTTTTTACTGATGCAGAGCACAACATCACACTGTAGTGCTCTGCAACACAGATGCATTGTGGAGGCTTGTTGTGGTCCCATTCAGAATAATTTGGCCCAATGCACCGACGTGCTTAAGGTGCGTTACTGCAATGCCCAAGTCTGTTTCCATATAGATTGGATATATTGAAGGAATAATTACTTAATTCACTTTTTATGCATCTGAGAACTTCTGTATATGAATGTTATTTTAACTACTCTAGACACACTATAAAGTATTCCCCACATGACAACTCTGCCCGATGAAAAATAATTCTGAGTGTTATTCTTACACCTTATTTAGC